GACAATGCCATGGTGCTTTGGTCCCTGTTTTCCTGCCCCAGTGTGTCCTGTCCAGCTGGAAGCCAACTCAAATAAGCTGTAATCCCACCAAATTCTCTCCACGGTTTCGTATCGTGCAGGCCAAGAGCGTCACAAGAGTTCCGAGCGCCCTGGCTCACCTCTCTCTGACTGCACACACAGCCAGAGCTCTTAGCAACTGCTCCCTCCAGGCTAAGCTGGGTCACTCGAACCGCTGCTCGCACGCAGCGAGCACAAGCGCGCACAAAGACTCCCTCCTGCACCGAAACCGCCAGCGCCTGGCGTGCCTGGCGAGGGGTGTGACGATTACCTGGCTCCAGCCTTTCCTGTGACAGTGTTGTCCTATCCAGCATTAGCAATCAGGGCAGTTACTTCTATTTAGAGCTGTTATGCTGTGTAGTTTAACTGCAGAAGAGTTGGAAGTAGTGAGCACCAGTATCCTGGAGATCCTGCAGTGAGGGGGTGTTTTGCCAGGTGAAACCTCGAGAAGGCAGAGGAGCCAGCAGTGGGAAGAGAGAAAAGGTCAGGGAGTGGTTATAGCCCAAGGATGAGAGGAAGGGCTGGAAGGGAAGGAAGGTGCATACGCGGTTGAGAAACGCGGCCTCAGGAGGTTGTTTCCAGGACACGGGCAGGAAGAGCTGAAACCCAAGAAAAGCTTCTCACAGGGGACTGTGTGTGACAGCGAAGAGGTGAGGCAGGAGGGGCCGGCTCCTCCTGGAGTGCACGAGACCAAAGCCAGCTGGGAAGAAGGTGAGATGAAAGAACAGGATCTAATCTGTAATGTAGGAGTTGAGAGAACAGAGCAGAAGTGAGCTCTGTACGGACCTTTTCAGGATGAAATGGGATTTATTTATTTTTTCCCCACTGGAAGGGATGTCAGACAAGCAGGAACCTACAGCCAGCCTGGGTTTGGGGACCTTGACTCTTCAATGGGGTCTTCAGAACATCAAAAAGGAGATGGTTACAAGACAGGGAGAGGAAGCAGCATCCCAGCCATTCACAGAGTGGCCAGTACTCAGCCTGGTGACAAAGGAGGGAGTGAGGAGCACCAGAGCTGGGGCTGAAGCTGTAGAGGCAAAGAGTTTGCTGTGCAACTCCCTTGCACCGCTAAAGCCACTTTCCCTGGCACAGAGCAGCTCCCTTGCAACCTCCAGGTAAAACTGATCTTGGGACTGGGGTGAAAAGCACAAAACAAGACTCAGGATCCAGGACAACTTTCTTTATTGCTACCAGAAGGCTTTCATCAGTACAATGGCTCCGAAAACGATACCTTCCTCAGGGCTGTGGAGAGAGCTTACAATTGGGACAGGGCATTCTGAGAAACAGAGGTGTAACATTTAAGAGGACAAGTTTTTGAAAGGTTTTGCTCTTGGTTAGAAGTTACATGAACACAAAACTTGAGGGTTTAGGGTCTTTTGGTTTGGTTTTGTGACTGATAATTACACACCTTTCAAACCTCAGGCGTACGAAGCCGCCCCAGCACCTCACCGAGCAGTGCTGGTCGCATGCTAAGCTTATAAACATATGGGGGGGGGGAAAAAGAGACTCTGCAGAACTGAAGGTCTACACTTGACGTAGAGAGTCAAGCGTTGGTGAAAACCCACACTGAGCACAACATTTCTTGGTGCAAATGAGAAAAAATACCGGTTTTGTTAATTGATACCGAATCCATTAACTGCTTTCTGTGTTTGTAAATCAAACTGGTGTTAAGTGTGAGGAGTCTCTGTAAGGTACAGAGCACAGCAACCAGCTGCCCGAGTAGGTTCACACTCTGGTGGCTGTTTCTGAAGTGTGGAGCAGCTTGCAAGCGTCACTTTTGTTTTATTCCTGACTAACCTTTTATGTAAATCCAGTTTTTAAATATCACATTTAAACACCAAGGTGCTAACAAAACAAAAAAAAAAGGTCATTTTTTTTTTTCTCGAGAGAGGAAAAAGGAAGCTGTCGTGAGGGTCAGGTAGTACAGAACATCATGCACAAGACTTGCTGAGAATTAAAGAGGAGCAAGCAGAAAGAGAGCGAGGGGCGGATGGAAATGGGGTCAGAGAGGTGTTAGTTGGCTGGGAAACCTGGAACAACTCTGCACGAGTGATGTGAGCTCTCGGACGTGGGGAATGGGTTACGAGACACAGGAGCAGAAAAACAGTAGAACTGACAACACTAGAAAGAAACAAATTTTTGCTACTTTTTTTTGTTTGGTTTTTGGGTCTTTTTTTAGATTTTTATACTTTTTTGTGTTTATTTTAAGTGCTTAAATAGTGGAACTATAATTAGCCGCACAAGAAAAAAAATTCAAAAAAGGGTTGGGATTTTTTTTTTTTTTCTGGGATTTTTTTTTTTTTTTCTTTTTTTTGCTCCCTTCAGTTCAGCCTGACAAGGTACGGCCCCTTCTCCCCCTTGGTGAGAAGCCAGGATGCCAAGTCCTGCGTGGCTTCTCGAGTAGCTCGTAGCAGAGCAGGTGGTGTGCGCTCACAGCTACATAACAGACACTGGCTGTAAAGGTGGACAAGGGGACACGTTGCCTTCCTGCCTCGAGACATCAGCGCCACAAACAGAGCCCATGTTTTCAAGAGCCACTACCTCCGGAGCGATGTCTTCGTTGTAGAGACGCTTGATACCGTCGTAGAACTCGTCCACTTCCATCTCCTCCACTTTACGCTTGGCTGAGGCTTGCTTGCAACCGCTGGGAGCTGGCAGACGCTGGTAGAGCGCGGCTGTACCTGTGACTGGCACTTCTGGCCTGCCGTTGTCCTTGGAGAAACCTGGCCCTGGGACAGAGGAGGGCTGGCATTTGAACGCTCCTCTGTTACAGGTCACCAGGGTATGCTGGAGGGGACTGTAGACATATACAGAGTTGGGCAGCAGAGAAGACTGCAGAGTGGAAAGGTGATGTGCCACGAGCTCCCGGCAGTGGATCAGCTGCGAGCTATCCATCTGGAGTGGGAAGACAAGCAAAGACAGCGGCGTTGTGGGATCACCACCACGGAGAGGAGGTCCTGTCAGCCAGGGCAGGGCCGGGGCTCTGAACACACCAGCCACCCTGCACCTCCCTTCTCAACGATGCGCTGGGTGCAGGAGAACAGAAGTGATAAAAGGACCAGAAAGACCCCCAGTGTGGTGATTTTGTAAGATATGGACCCTTGCTCCCTCTTACACCTCGTGGGAATAGTAGGGGGGTAAAAACCTTTCAGATATTAACAGGTTTCACTGGGTGCTTTTAGCAGCTTGAGGGTTTGTCTCTCCAGTAGTTGTCAGACCACCCGTATGCTTAGAACGAAGGGCTGAGCAGCTCATTAGGATTTTCTCCCCAGCATGTTGTTTTGTCCCTGGTGCAGAGAGAGCTTCTGTACATCTGCACACACAGCTCCTCTCTTTGTCACCCGCTGGATGCAGTTAAGACCAAGACTTTGCAGAACTGTCCCAACAAACCCTCCCTTCAGGCTGAAGAAGCACAACCATCCTCGCCGAAGCGTAACTGCAGGCAGAGATCAGGAGCTGGGGCTCTGAAAGCCGCGGCTGGCTCGGATGAGCAGCCCCCAGTCCCTCCCTGCCGCCGTGTGCGGTGCCAGCACCCCCTCACCTGTGCCTTCTGGAGCAGCTCGATGATGAGAGCCAGCCAGTCGGGGAGCAGCTTCTCCAGCTCCAGGCTGACGATGGCCAGCGCCAGCATGGAGCCCTTGAACTGCAGCAGCTGGTAACAGGCCATGCAGTGCAGCAGCTGCTTGGTGAGCGCCGCCACGTGCTGAGAGGGACTCAGCTTGGGCAGGACGGTCAGTAGCTGAGGCCTGTTGGACACCGCAACTGCGTGGAACTGAGGAGGGGAAACAAGCACATGAGGCAGCTGGCGTCACCCACAGGCAACCCCACAGGCAAAGCCAGGTGAGACCTCGAGAACTGCATGCGACACACGTCTTTGATGCACAAGGATTCTCCAGCTTAACCTTCAAGGCAATTTCCACACCATGGAAAAAAAGCACCGTGGTGAACCCACCGACAGCTGGGTGCAGCCTTTCTGGCGGGAGCCATCGCACACATTGTCTGCCTGGGGACCAGCCTTCTGAGGGCTCTGCAGAAGGCTGTGCCCTTCCACCCTTCTCGCTCAGCAACACAGGATGAAATTGAACAGAGAACCTCAGGATGCTTTCCTTCCCTTTGTCTTATCTGATCATGAATCTGGTTCTCTGGCCGTGCCTTTCTGTAGCAAGCACAGAGCGCGCCCATTGCCCGCATCAGTGCTTTCTCCATGGTTGTACTTACTGGTTTTGTGCTGCCTGGCACTTAGCTTTGAGCAAAACCACTAGCAATTAGGACTTGGGGGCAAGGTTTTCAGGAGCTGTGAGTCTCAGCGTGTGGTTCAACATGCCTCAAAACAGGTCAGATGGCAGGCTCACATCTTGGAAATTGCGCCCAAAGTGTCACAAGTCTCCTCTGAAATTCTCTGCAAGGCTTTGTCTTTCAGAAACTACTTGTATGGAGGAATTACAAACACGTGCCAAAGTCTTTGCTCCCTACAGGTAGAATTCTTTGTCTAGGTACCTTATTTACACCAACAGCCACCAGAAAGAACGTAAATAGCCTCTGACTTACAATATGAAGGAAATCCAGTGGCGTTGCCATGTGAAGATCCCAGTTCAGTTTATCCAGGATAATCTTCTCCATTCTGCGAATTTCAGCTGGAGAACAACCACAAAAGCTATCCCGAGCCAACACCTTCAGTACTGGAATCCTCTGCAAAAGCCAACGCGAAAGAAGAAACAAGAGAAGCCATCGTTATAGAAATGACACCAAGCGCTTCATTCCTGTCCCAGCGAGCGACAGCCACCACGTGCGAGCAAAGGCAGGACGGGCAGAGCACACAGTCACACGAGGCTACGGTAGTAAGAACAAAAAAGTTACCTCATCTTCCTCAATGGTCTTTGCAGCAAGGAAGAAGCAGCTGATTGCAATACAGTTCAAGTACTTTGGACGGGCCTGTGGTACAGAAGAGCAGAGAAAGTCTCTGTGAATGTGACGCAGAAATGATGTGTGATCAATCCTTTCTGGTGGGACATCCTGAGCCCCGGGGTCTCAGCTGCCTGTACAACACCTTCTGGATCAGCAGGCTGACCTTCAGCTACGCCACGGCGGCAGCGAGCCGTGCCAAGCCAAAATCCATACTCGGTGAGGTCAGGCAGGACAGCAATCTGCCAGCCCCACCTCGTAACCGGCACACGCTGGTGTGCAGCACCGGAGTGGAAAGAGCTCGTTTTTAGGCAGTGCAGTGGAAATAGGAAGGAGGAAATCAGAAGGGCCAGATTGTCACCTGGTAAAAAACCCCATTGCCATTCCACTTTCTTCAGCAGAGCTCTGCTGTTAGTGCTGCTGGGGGTCAGACACGGAACAGGAAGGAAAATAATTTAAAATTTCCTTGCTTGGGGAAGTATAAACATCACCACTTGTCATTCTGCACTGCAGTTCTCAAAGCTGTGGCCCAGGCATTATCAAGGGAGAGCTGGTCCTTTCCATAGTGGTTTGTTTTAGGCAAGGTAGGTGAAATTTTGAGGGGAAAGGGTGATTTGTTATGTATATTTTAAAACTCCTTTTAGAGGCCTTGGTTGGGGGGCTGAGGGGGAGAGCAGGATGTGTGGGACAGATAGTCCCTGTGCTGGACCAGACTGAGCACACGCTCTGGATGTGCCACATCCACTGGAGGTTTTGCTGACCAAGCCTGACAAAGGACTTCACTTCCAACATCAGTGGAAACACGGCAGGATGTGTTCCCCTGCTCCTTAGTGGCTGGGGGGTAGGAAATGCAGAGGCACTGTTTCTAAGCCTTATCACTGCCCAGTGAGTAGACAGCCCCCACCTCCAGTAAAGAGCCACCTGGTCCTCTTCTGTCCATGTGAAGAGATGCTGGGAGCGAAGGTAAGTGAAAATCCTGCACAGATTGTGAAAATTTACTTGCAGCCTGAACTGCTGCTGTGATTTATTCTTGTTAGGTAAATTTTAGCAAATGCAGCAGAGCCCTGAGGTGGTTGAAAGGTGAGATGCTGCGTGTTACACTCATGCAATGAGCTGTCAAGGAATTGAGAACACTGTTTCCAGAAAGCAACAAGAGAAGAACCCAAGATGGTGTCCATATTGAAGATCCTGACCTACTTTCAGCCTCAGGTACTTAAAAAGGACGATGCTATGCCTAGAGCTTTGGCTTTGTAGTGCCATTTAAACTTAAATACAGGTAGAGAATCCACACTTGGGGGCGGGGGTGTACATGCACGTGTCTGTGCATTCCGATGTCACTGAAAGCAAAGAGAGTAAGTTCTCTTAGGGCAAGGCTGGAACTTGTTCTTGACCATGCAGGTAGGTTCAAAGGAAACTGTCAGATTAGCACAAAATCATGTGCAGCAAAGGAGGACACCTTCTGCATGGGGGTCAGGGAAAAGCAGGTGTCTAGAGCAGGATCCTACCATCAGGGACGCTTGTTCTGCCTGCTATTTTTAACAGTAATTTTGTCTCCTCTTTCTCCCAAGTGCATCCCCTCTAGAGACTGGCCTGGAAGGAACAACTCTCTCTTGTCTTTTGTTTAAAACCCAGACCCATCCTGGTCTCCTATGGGAGCTCCTACCTGCCTTGCTGGCTCCTCACACGTTGCCGAGTGCTGCTGTGCTGGGCTCTGTGGCGGGTTAACGTGTGCTGGGCAGTGAGTTACACCGAGCGGGGCCTCCACAGCAGGGCTGGCTCACAGCCTTAGGGGCAGCCAGGCTCAGAAATATCCCAAGTGTGTTCACAGTGAAGGGACCAGTTGTCTTAATAATAAAATCCCCCTGGTAAAACAACAGGAGTTAAGCTGTGTAAGGCCCTGGCGCCTTACGGGGGAGGGAGCACAAAGCCCTGAGCTGTCTGAACAATGCTCACCCAGACACAACACCTTTCCGCCTCCCTGCTCGCTGCCTGAAGCGCGCAGTGGGCTCCTTACTCACGCTCTCCTGCTTTCCCTGCAGACTCCTTGGCTGCTGCCAATGACTGAAAGAAAAACTGTACTCGAGGGCATTAGCGGCTGCGGGATTTAAATCCATTTACCCTCTTAGTACTTCAGGAAATCAGTTACTTTAAGATGTCCTCACAAATAAAAATCTCCGTGGCTTGTAATTAAAACATTAGCAATATTTATTAATATTTAAAGGGTAGGTTAATGGATGATGTCACTTGCATTCTACCAAACACACTGAAATGTAAGTGCTCAAGCTGAGAATACATGCTTCTGCTTGGATCTCCTCAGCTCTGCTGCGTACCTAACAGCGTTGGTGATGAGATGAGGCACCCCTGCAGATGACACTGCACATCTGCTGAGCATGGAATGTAACTGAGCAAATATGGTAGGAGATGAGGCTACTCAAAGCCTGACTTAACTACTCCAGGCCAGGGGTTTTGGGCTGAACCACAGTTTGTTCAGGAGTCTGCATCGAAGCTGCTTCAACAGCAGACTTGAAGGGATAGAAGAGGGGCAGATCCCAGATGGAGCTCGCCCAAATGATGACTCTTCTCTTGTCTATCTCAAGTGGTTTCTATGGCCTCACAGCCTTAAGCCCCACCAGGCACACACATTCTCTGCTCTGGCCTGCACCCCAGTTCCTTACCTCCCTCTCTCCTTCACATCTGCCTGACTTGACATCAGTCTGAAGCTCTTAGTCAGTCGGACTGGCTGTAGAGCAGGCTGGTAGTGAACTACTTCCCCAAGAATTCATCACCTGTGGCTCCATCTTCTCCCCCCACCTCTTTTCCTTTTTTTTTTTTTTCCATTTCCCTGCACTAGCAAATGTGTCAGGCCCAAACCTGTCTTCAAACATTTGCTTCCTCCAGCTACTCGTTCACTGCTCACATGTGCTCCCAGCAATTCTAAGTGGTACAAATGAGATGAAATGCAGTTACAACAGCAGAGAAATGAAGAGGTAAGCAGGGACTCTGTCAGAGGACACTGGGTCTGGGTTTTTAACCATGGGACAGTGGGCACTTCCTTTAGCTTTGAGTCAATTTAGGTGAAGGTAGAGACTGTTCTCTGTTTTATCTTGAGAATAAAAACCTCTCTGCAGCCTCTTTTTCTGATTGCTTAAAGGAACAGCTAGTGGGCCGAGGCCGATTCAACATTCAAACCCAGGTTCAGAGCGAGCATGTCGTTGAAGAGGAAGGGTGCTGCTTTTCTCTTGGTTTAACATACATTTAAACTAAGGAGCTGCATTACGTGAAGGAAATGGGCAGAACAGAGGAAAGAAGGAAAATATTCTTGGTAGGTGTAAGCACTGGGTCATTTCCCAGAGAACTGGGTGTTCTCTTTAAAGCAATGGCTATTTTCATGGGGTTAAAAATGGCTATGGAGATAATCTACCTCTAAAAATTCCTGGCAGCAGCGGGTGCTCCCAGTTCCACAACCTGAAATTAAGCTCCTGGAGTGGTGTAGGCACCATCCTATACATGTGTGAGAAAGGAAGAGGGGGGGAGAGCAGATGGGGGAAGTAAACGTTTCCGTACAGCCACACCACTCAGACTGTACACAGAAATAGCTGGGGGTGATATAAATCTATTTCAATTTATGTATCTGCAAATATTTACCTTTACTGCTGCTAAAAACCTGTCCAAAAGGCTGATGGCCAGGGCGAGCGTTTCTGGATAAAGGTGGAACTGGTATTTGAGCTTGGCCAGCCACTGGATGACCTCATCCCTCTGCTTTGGAGAAATGGCTACATCCTGCTGGAGAGAAAAACAAACTATTCTTATACACAGGCTCAGCAAGTCAGGAAACACCAAACATTTTACCTCAGCAGGAGTTGTTCAGCCTGGAAACAAAGCCCCCTTTGGCAAGGGGGGTCCTTCAGCCAGCCTCAGTCACCGCTTGGTTCTTGCAGTTGCTTACCCCATCCCAAAAAATCTGCCCTGACAAAGAGAACTTTCCTTACAGCAGCCTCAGACATCACTGAGAAATTTCACTGCACAGTGGGGAGAAGAGGAAGGATGTCTTGGAGCTTCTCAAGCACTGACCAGGTGTTCTCTAGCTCAGCTGTAAGAGATTTTATTTTCTTTTTAACTTCCTTAGAACCACGTAGATACACGGAAATACCCCCCCTTGAACAGAACCAGACATGCTCTGGGAGCCAGGCGGGTCCTCAGCTCCCGAGAAACAGAAGAGGGCAAGGACCAAGTTGGTATTTTGAGAGGGAAAGTTTATTTTTCCTTCAGCTCAGGGGGACATTTTTAGCTCAGTATATGTTAAAAAAAGAAACTTCCAGTTAACAAGACCTTTAGCAGTACAGTTGTGAACTGGGGTAAAGCAGGTACAGTTTCATAAGACCTTTAGCAGTACAGTTAATTGTGAACTGGGGTAAAGCAGGTACAGTTTCACCTGAAAAAGGCTGTGTTTAGTGTTTTGGTTTTTTTAACTTTTTGGCCCAAGTCATCACCATTGATCTGTTTGCACAAGGGCTGAACTTCAACCACAAATACAAATCAGACATTGGCATAAAATCTTTCTCTCTGACTACTTTTCTGAAATACTTATGTCTGCTTTCACGTCGCTGGGGATGATTTAGGGTGATTAGCAAGGATATGTCCAGAAGTTAAACCAAACAAATTTCTTGTGCTGTGCTCAAGGTACTTACACTCTTTTGGCTACTGCTGATGTAAAAGCAACCAGAGGCAATGCTGGCTGCCCAGGTACTGTGGAAAAGACAGCGAAGGGCTTGCGCAAACAAGCGTAGCTGCTGGGCTGGGGTGTAGCTGTTCTCCCAGCAATAACACACAGGGGGGAAGCAGCAGAATTTTGGAAAACAAACACACCCGACACTGATGCAAAATAAAATACTTCAGGCTACAGCTGTCGCCCAAGTACTGACCCTCTGCCTTCTGTAGGCAGCAACACGCTCCTGCCTTGGAGCCCGCCATGCGTGCGGAGGCCGAGCGGTGTAGGCAGCACTGTAACGACCCCAGGGCCTCCCCGAGGACACCAGCTTCACACCTTCCCGTGTCACTTGCAGGACGGTATCTTTACTCTGCTCTCAGCTTCCTGACTGGTGCTGAGCTCCACCTTCACCACTCCATGGGGCACAAGGGAGGGGGACAGGGCTCAAACCTCAGGGTTGAGTTCTGGGGTTGGTGACAGTAGGTGCACAGCCGGCTGCTGCTGCTGCTCACAGACACGTGTCCTACCAAAATGCGGCCACCACATCCCCTTAGAAAAAGTACAATGGTAAGGGTGCTATTGTAGCAGGAACGGAGTCTGAAGCCAGGGTTGTGCAATCCAAAGCTGTTTCTCCTGGCTGTAGTAGCTGGGCTAATAAAGCGATACTACCTCTGCCTGTCAATGTGCCTTCAGTCCTCCATCGTGTGCTCCTCTGAGGAGAGCAAAGCCCTGCCTTGCCTTCTCTCCTGAAGCTCTGCTGGTGTAACACGGTCAGCAGGACTGTGTGTGATCCCTCTGCGCCCCTGCTCTCACCTGGGACCTCTGGGTGCCACCTGACTGTAATGTGGCTTTCTAAAAAGCACCTACTATTTTTCAGGTGGGAAGAGGAAGTTTTCTCAGTTCCAAGAAATAATGATTCTTTCTAAAATGATTATTGAGATTTAAGGGTGAGATCTGAGCCGTGCCAGGACACCCGCTGGCTGCAACGCGTCGCGCTTGTTCCAGAAACGCTAGTTTGGCCCGTGCTGGGGGTATAATGAATTCACCACACAGCAGGAAGGAGTTTATTAAATGCTCTGCTAAAAACATCATTTGGACAGCGGGATAGGGACCTAGAAGGTATCTGGGGAGAAAAAAAGGCGATGCTGTGTTAGATACTGGCTGTCCTTCTAGAGTGTACTTCTGTAGCTAAGCAAGGCCTGCACAGCTCAACCTAAAACAGGAAAAAAAAGGAGTGATCAGGCAAGCTCCTTATTGCTTTACTCATTGTGCCCGTCTTTAAATGGAAGGAGACAGAGCCATACAACGGGGCTTATAACCGCAGCCAGGTCTGGATGATGCTGCAGCCTTGGAAGGTTTCAAGCAGCTCAGAGGATTATTTGGAAGTGCTGTATCTGGGTGAATCCAGCAGGTAAGCTGTGTGCACCTGCTCAAAGGTGACCTGAAACCACCCCATCAAACAGAATAAACTTGACTTTAAAAACCTGCCTCTGACTCTGACAACACGGCCCTGGTCCTGCCGCAGCAGCTCGACTGGTGAGGCCAGCAGGAAGGGTCCCCTGGCCGGCAGCTGCATCAGCAGGGCAGCCACCTCCGTCTCCCCTGCATGCCCTCCTGCCATACATCATTGCTCTGGAGGAGGGGTGAAGATGGCATCTGCTGTGCTTCTTGCTGTGGAGGCAGGGCCCTGCCTCAGCAGCCCAGGGGGGGTTTCTCATCCCCTCCCATTCCTGGCAAATCCCATGGGCATCAGCTTCAGCAGCTCCTGACGGCGTCTCTCCTGGCTCAGCGCTGGTTTCCTCGTGCCTGCCAAAGCGAAAGGTTAGGTCTTCTCCTAAAAACAGCATGGGTGGGAAGGGTGAGATCGTCTTTCCACGCTGCCGCTCAGCCTTCAGTCCTCCCAAGATCTGCCCTTGTGTCTTCTCACCCTTTGTGGGCAGTATGAGGCCAAGAGGCAAAATTTCAGCCCCAGGAGTTAAGCTTTAAACGGGGAGGCTGTGAAGAACAGCAACTGTATGCTCAGTCCCTGGTAACCACTGTCCTTTCTTTGTGAGACATAAATGGTGTTGACTCTAAAGCACCGAAAAACAACAGCTTATCCAAGCAAGATGTGAAATGAAAACAAACAAAAACCAGCCCCCACACAGAGCATTATGTTCCCTTAACACCAAGGAACATCTAGGTACGTGCACAGCAGATGTAAGGCTTCAAAATACAATCTGGCTTCTTAAGAGCTGTCTGGGGAAGCAAAGGGAAGGAGGTGAATCTCCAGCTCTTTTCTGCAAGAACATCAATCCTACAAAGAGTTTGTCTACTCCAGTCTCTAACAGCAAATAAAGGAGCACAAGAGGGGGTGGGGGGGGAGAGAAATCCCTTACACAGAAAGACCAGGTGAATTTAAACCTAGTTTAACAGCAAAGTTTGTTAAGAGACAGGCAGAGGAATGAGAACTGGTCCCATCACACCCACAAACCCTGCTGCTACTTCCAAGCAGGGCAAGGAGCTTCCCACACAAAGGGATCCGTCTTTATCCCCCCGCCTCGAAGGTGCGCGCACATCATCCTAGTGACACACATCATAAAGGCAGCGCGGTCACGTTATCGAAGCAGCGAGGTCACTGGTCTTTAGTGATGTAAAATTAAAAGCAAAAAGGAGACACTACGGTGGTTGAAAGTAAAAAAAGAAAGTCCCTTTGGGCTGGAAGGCAAAAGTTCCTCTTTGCTGTGGAGGTACTTTCCACAGCCTCCACCTGGGTCTCTGTGTGGCCGCCTCTGTTTTGTCACCACAAACACCAGCAGACTCTGTTTTCACGCAGCAGCAGCAGGAGGTTGCTCCGAGACGGAGGTAAGAGCAGCCCTGAGGACTGAAGGTCAATCCATCTCCTCTGGCTGGCGCTTCCCCCCACTCTTTTTGTTTTTGGAAAGGAGTCCAGATCGGAGCAAGGACCGACCTACAGATGTGGTTGCCTGTCCTGGCACCAAAGGTTAGCAGATACGTGCATGATGACTCCTGCCACCACTTAGCTTCTGGGAAGGCCTCCTGATGGGTATTTTAAGTAACACAGGACAAGGCCAGTGTGGGCCCACAGGTGACTATCTGAATAATGAAATGGCAGCGCTGCACTCGCCGTGGCTGTCACTTGACCTCTCCAAAGTCAGCAACCACAGAGGTCGGGGGTTCTGCTCAAGGGAAGCAACACAGCACCCCATACCACAGCACCCCATACCACACACACACCCCGACCCGAGCCCTCCAGCATCTCTGATGATTTATATCTGAATTGTCTGATTCCCCAGTCAGTGCCCCAGACCCCATTTCTCAGTCACTGCATCAGAAAGGTGCCTGTGAGGCCCTGGCAATGGTGAGAGGCACAGGGAGCTGCTGTCCTGCATCCCGACAGCCAAATCGCCTCGTCCCTGAGCTGGCAGCCCTGCCACAGGGCCCGCTGCACGGGAGAGGAGGCCCAGAGGCTGTGACTCAGGCTCCAGCGTGTGAGCACAGTACAAATCACCTCTAAGAATACCTTGAGACTTTTGGAAAATGCAGTCTAAAAAAAAATACTCTCTGTGAACTCAAACGTGACTCAATTTTATTGCTGCCTAATCTAGGAAAAACACCTTGCCTGATAACTGGTTTTTCTGTCGTGTCTGCTGTCTCAGACGGGGATGTTTTGCTGTTTCCCCTATTTGTTTCTGCCTAGTCCTGCTCCTGCTGTGGGTTCCTCGGGGAGCAAGCAGGTGACCGTTATCAGGACTGGGAAGCTTCTGAAAAGGGCAGGTGTAAAGATTACAGCCGCATCGGTCGGAGCTCGGGTCTTAGGAGCCTTGTTTTACACCAGAGCGACCCCCAAACTGATGCCCACTGGGCTGGTTCTCACTTGTAGCAGCCGGGCAGGAGCGGTGCTCTCCTGAAACCCTTCAGAAGTGGTGTTTTTGCCACTTTTTGCCGTAGCCTCAGGGTTTGGCTACGGTTTAGCGGGGCAGCCTCGGCCATCCGCGCGGTAACGTGCGCAAACAGCGGGGAGAGAGACTGCTGCTGGGCAGAGCGGGAGAGCTGGGGGCATTAACCCCACAATGGTTTGTACAAACGGTCAGGCAGTCTCCGAGTCGCCCACAGGATACAACAGGCACCAGAAGGGTAGAAAACGGACCCAAGGTCATGTGCTGAGACAGTGGAAAAACTGGAAACAAACTTGAGGTCTCCTGATTACTCAAGAGGTACAGAGAACAAAGGAGAAGACAGAAAGAAAGAGCTGGAACAGGCAAGGAAGGAGAAATTATACAAGTGGCGCTGTGTTTCTATAAAAAGATATAAAAAATCCTGGCTTACACAGCTCTTCGCTGCAAAGTTACTTGGTAACATGCAAAAATCAACCTTTGACCAGTCTTTACTGCTTGATTTCTCAAGTCCCAATCACATGAAAGCTTCTGAATGTCACCTGCATATTGTATAACCCAAGAGAGGGGAAGAAAAAAATAAAGACAAAATACACTCAGAAGCACTAGGAGGGTTCCAGACTCAGCCTATCTTATTTTTTCAGGCTGAAAAGCCCCTGTGACATCTGGCTTTGATATAATGCAACGACCCGGAGCCAGTAGCCTGCATTTAAAGGAGGGAAACTAAAAGAAATATACATGCCCGTAGGAAAAGGGACTTTTCAGAGAGAAAGTGAAAAACAAAACAGAAAAATCACAGACATTATCAGGACCGGAGCCCCCGACAGATTGTGCATCCTGTACTAAAAATGTAAAGTTTTTCCTGTTTCTGTAACTAAGGGTTTCTTTCTTCCTTTCAAAGATCTCAACTCTGACACGTATTTAGAAACTGAATTTGTTCCGGTTTTAAACATTAGAACCAAAAATGTCTCCTAAAGAGTCAAAACTGAAAGTTTACTCCTGAAAAATAATTCGAGTGTGCCTCCAATCTGATCATTAGCTTTTTTTGGTAGATGCAGCTCACATTTTCTCATTTGCAAACCAGATGATTTCATTAAAACCCTTTCTGTAGTCAGGCTATCTCTGTAGCGAGGAATGGAAAGTTACACAGGCTTCAGGGTTGCCAGATCTGATACCCAGAAGGATGCTGATTTCCTGACTGTCATGGGAAATAAACAAGGGTTTCATACAAGTGATGTTTTAGGCTACTGCAGCTGTTTTCAAAAGAAAGCAGGAGATGTTTGGGAAAACAGCCTTCTTCCAGGTATCACAGGGAATGGGAATATTCACTCTGCATGTCCGTGGCTGCAACACTGCCACAATGAAGGCTGCACAAGTGGAGGAACGGGTGACAGTTTGAAAAGCTGGGTGTCACAAACTCTAGGAACAGAGAGAAATAGGTAGTTACAGACAGAGGGTTTTCAGCTGCGCTGTGGCATGGCCAGTCAGGATTTCCCCAGAGCAGACAGCTGTGTTGATGTTCCCCTTTTCAGTCTGACCTTGGTACATTTTCCACATAAACACACAGAGATTTCAATCCAATTTAATGATTGCTGACTGCTAGAAAACATTTCATACTGTGGCACTCTAGCTGATGAAGTCAACGTCTGAACTGACAGGTAGGAAAATATAAAGAAAGAAGTTAGAGAGTTTTGGGGGTGGAAATGCCAGGAGTGGAAAGCCTGGGGTGAGAAGCACAGAGGGCCAGGAAACACCCCCCAGCACAGACCTCGGGGATATTGTTGAAGTGCAGGGGAGGAGGGGGAGAAAGATCCTTCATCTTCATGACCTAATTGCACACAAAAAGGACAAACTTGGTATTTGCCCAGGCCAGACGTGAGGTTCTGCTCTCGAGCACAAACTTTACACTGGCTTTAGCCATCAGGTTGTTTCTACACTGATCCTACTCTGGGTTTTCACAGCAGGCAACAGAGCTGCCCCCAGGTTTCATATTCAGCAGACAGCCCAAAGCCCCGTTAACTGCTCTGAGCATTCACCACTGAGGACAGCGCTTTGCGAGGTGCCGCAGACCTCGGCCACAGCGATGTTAAGACCCCTCTTCAAGGTCCCTGGCAGCAGGACAGCTGCTCCTCACCACAGACAGGGCTGAGGTTAGTCCTTCTTCTGTGGGGACAACTCGAACGTGTCACAGGTGGGAAACCTCATCTTCAAAGGGCGACAGTGCAATCCTGCAAGGGAGGGCTGGCTAATGCAGCTGGTGGCTTCTGAGCCACCAGAATCCACTTCACCAAGGCAAAAATGCAAAGGCTTTGTCCCTGTGAAATCTTCACACAAGAATCTGGTTTGGTTACACTCTCCGAGTCCCTAACCTATCTCATTATACTGTAATCTTATCTCCCTACATTATAATCACTAACCCTAGGAATACTGCCAGCATGGAATAACAGGCTAGTTTACCATAAACCAGAGTCTTAAAACTGTACGTGCCTGAAGACAGCCACAGCTACACCTTAACTCAACACCTCTGACAACCAGGGCACCGATTTGGAAACCTAAACGTGGATTAACAAAACTAATACTGAGCCCCTTAAAAACATATTTGTTCCTACACAACAACAGCAGATTCTTGTTCACCAGACAGAAAAAAACCAAACACCACACTGATTAGCTCTGACAACAACTGATAACACTTGCGTGAATATTTTATGTGAATCAAGAACAGGAAGACTGGGTCTGAGACCATTATTTCTGGGTTATTTCTGCCCAACCCAGTGACAAAGTCCCCAGAGCTCTATGACAACTGTCCTCACGCTTCACATTTTGTTTTAAACAAAGCTTTGTGAAGTTCACAGGTGGTTCTGAGTGCACATGCTAGACAGACACCTCCTCTACAAAGAGCAGAAGGGCAATTCAGGCTGGGTAAATCCAACCTGCTGCAAAACTGGAGCAGGAGGTTGGACTATGGACCCACTGTGGTCCCTTCCAGCCTGAATCTTCCTCCAGTCCTACCAGAACAGTCCTCACTGGAACAGGCCAGCACCTGGCTCCACTTCCCTTGGCACGAGCTTGCACCCTGCTCCATAAATAGTCCTGTGGCAGTCTGTGGTGTTCTTCCCAAAGCAGACAGTGCCTGACCAGATGAGAACCTCACCTGGCTCCAGCTGATACAGCGACAGCCAGCCCCGCAGAACCGGGCTCATTTACACCAGGGAAGAATCTGGCTCAGAGTGGGAAAAGGCAGCAACCTCAGGCTTTCCCTGGGGATTCGCTGTTCTGGGAGGGGGCCTGGGCTAAGCTAGCGGTCGTGGTTCCTGTGAGAAGATGTCACTTCACGTGGAAAGCAAAGAGCATTTCAACACTGTCATTAGTGAACTCGGGACAAGAAAATGAAGCTGCTTTTAAGAACTGTTGCAGAGTTGGTGCCCACTAGAAATGGGTGTTAATTATCCACACAATTTGTAAAATGAATTTAATTAAGACAATATATGTATGAGCTTTCAGAAGCAACAGCAGAGGCCTGACATTGTATGCTGCGGAGTGTGTTCTGTGCCCCTGGGTGCAGGTAAGTCCCTCTAATAAAAAACTGCTCGCATACTTCAGAGGCTAATTTCCCAGGTCTCAAGCAGAAGGGAACTTCTCATGCAACAGCATCGGTTGTTCACGTAAAAATACATTAGAGGTCAGTCTCCTGCCTTCACCAAGATGAATGATGTGGAGAAAAGACATTACCTGATTGGGCTGCATTTTCGGCACATGTGCTTTCCACATTTGAGCTTCCCTAGAGATTGCCGTCTCCAGAAGGAGAGACAACCTCTGGCTCTCCGGGGGTCCTGAGAACTTCATGGTAACCCTGGGATCCACCTGCCACCCAGCTGGATACAGCTACCTGCAAAACCAAAGACAGCCTGGTGAAATACTGAGCCATGCCTGTCTGGTAAACTGAGCAAAAGAAAACACAAAGGTGACTAAAGCTGCCAGAAATGGCACAGGCTCATCTGTAACATAGCGACTGGGTGCTTGGCAAACCGACCCAAGGAAACCCACACCAGTGGGCTCTGATTCAGGTGAAGCTGAGCCAGAATTGTCCACAGGTAAGTCTCTGACACCTACATGGGCTGGAAAGTCATGACACTTGGAGGTTTTCTGCTTCAGGCGAGACCTCTCTTGCCTCAGCAGCACTTTTGTAAGCAGGTGTCTTACGAAAAATACTTGAGGGAGGAGCTGTACAACATATAAAAGGGACTTCAGTAAGTTGGCTGCCCTAGCCCAAATCCCACTGAAGTTAAAATCAGTCTCCCCGTGACTTCAAGGGAAGTTAAGACTGACATTCAAACGTTTTTCAAAAATCCCAGCCTTGGAGTATGGTTGGTGCCAGCCTTACCCCAGCACTCCCAGCAGCAACAGGGAGTTCTCTGCAAAACAGAGGAACGCTTGTTGGAGAATTTAAATGATTTACAAGCTGAAGCCTGACAAAAAGATCCACATTTTCCCTCTCTGCACAGTATGGTTTGTAGCTTCTGACGGAAGCTGTGACCTGTTTCAGAAGAGTTCCTCTCGGGTCTAATCACTCTGAAAACATTAGATCCATAAAACTTTTGGACACATCTCTAATTTTAGATAGGAAATGCATTTTAAAGGAGGAAAAAAAGCAGCAAACCCAGCGACAGCTTTTGCAAGGCATGAAATGACTACAAGCTGGCTAAGTGATGGAGAAGATTTCTGCAAGGCCTGCACTATTCAGAAACACCTGCTTCCCCTGGCAGAAGCCATGCTACAAAAGCATGCAGGCTAAAGCAAAACACCTCGCTACAGACAACACAGAAAAAAGGGGGTTCTCCTGGCCCTAGTTCAGCCTCACTCAGCAGTTAACAACGTGTCAAGAACTTGTAAATTTGAAATGAAAAGCAAAGCAGAGGCAAGATTTTTATTTATTTTTTATAAAGACAACAGATTCCACCACCTAATTGCAAAGGGAGAAGATGGTCTGATTGAAAAGGTTATTCAAATTGTTCTAATCCTGCCTACTGTTCCTCTGGCCGCCAATTTCTTGACGGTATTAAATCACTTAAGCAAAACAATTCAGCCCTGAAGGGTAAATCCATGGGAAAGTTATTTAAACTTTCAATTCCTTCTGTGAGCTCTTGTGAAATCCACAACAGGTGGACACTGGCCAAACGCTAACCAGGCTATTTTATAACGACCTGTTTGTTCATACAACAGTTTATGCTGTAGTTACAGGAAATAAGACAACATGTTGAATCAGAGAAAATAAACAAAATTCACAGTGAAAACAATCAGTTTATTATTATAAGTAATAACGAGAGCAGCTCTGCACAAATGAAGATTCAGAGTGCTTTCACAGGGTTAAGGGAAAATGCCAAACAGTTTTCTTTATCGATTTACAGGAGCTTTTAAGGGGCTGGGTTCACACAGAACCTGCACGAGGCATAAAAACTGCACTCAAGTCCTACTCAGATCCAAGCAGGTTTTAAGTGGCAAATAAACGTCAAGCCTCTCATTCCTCAACAGAAACCCTTTTTATATTAGATTTTAATAAAACAAATGCTTCTCCTTGAACAAAGGAGAGGCTGTACTGGCTTGGCACACCCAAGGTTTCCAGCCTGTCAGTGTGATGATGACACAAGGTGACTGGGGTAGTGTACGCGGATTTTCCAGCTGGAGGAGACACCTTGGATTCCTGAAAGGGCTCAAAATGCTCTGCAGTGTGTCTCCCCACAATTAGCCCCCGAATGGCTAATTGAGTACCACCGTGGACTGAAAAATCCCTATTAAAAGTTCCCCACTTGACAAGAGCGAGATTCTGCCTGCGAAGAGAAAAAAAAACTACATTTCTCTAACGAGAACCGCGGCTTTTTTATGTGCATTTACTCATTCTTGCATTTCTTTTTTAAGCCTCGGGGTGATCCTGACAACACTCAGAGCACTGTAAATGGGGCTGCAGGTGAAGCTGGAGGGGAAACAGGGATGGAAAGGCTAACTGGGTAATAGCCAACAGGGTATCAACCACAGTTTCTCAGACCACACCTGGAGAAGACGGCGATGAAAGGCGTGCACCCCTGCTCGGTGTTGCACAAGGTGAAATACATGCATGGGAGGAGGAGTATTACTGGCAGGAGGAATATTTAGCACAACCAGGTCTCCTAATATGAAATATTGATGGTCCTTTCTTGGTTTTGCAGGAAAGAGAGTAATTAGCCCCTCCTCAAAGCACTGGAAAAAACACATGAAAAATTTCAGGCCAAAGTGAGCACCTGCAGGCACCTTTTTTTTCTCTGTTATGACTGACAAACTTTCCCATCATATTTACAACAGAAATGGGTTTCACAGGCCCCTGGGCCCACAAAAGACCTTTTAGTTACTCTGTTCCCATTTTAGGCTGTCCCTGTACTGCCTTAGCCGGTCAGTGGCCCCAGCAGAGTGCTCAGGGGTGTCCCTGGAGCACCCTTAAATACCAATGGCCCTGCAAGGGACATTTTTAGTGAGCCATAATGGCAACTCTTCTCAAGTTGCCAAGGGGAAAAGAGAGGGAAAAAATAACCTTTCCTTTCTGAACTAGGGAGGTAATTCAATGAGGGCTGAGGCACAATAACCTTTATAAGGAAAAAAAAAGAAGAGGACTGACATGCTTGAAAGTTTCCCTTGGAGCAACAGTGCTGAGCAGACTTTTCCAGCACCGAGAGCACGCCAGGCAGCTCGCCAAGCACCCCGAGGGCTTGCATCTAAATTTACATAGCTCTTAATCAGATAAATGCATGCCATTTGAAAAAAAAATATGCCAGCATGCTCTCTATGTATGCAGCGCTTCAGAAAACACCAGGGAGCCACTGCAGAGTGAGCAGTGCTGGGAGAGGATGGGAAACAGGATGGCCGGCACAGCGTCCCCAAATCCAGCACGCGGAAGTCGAGGGAAGACCCCAGAGTGACCGGACTCTCTTCTCTCTGCTCAGATCAAGATGATAAAACCTGAGCAATGCAGAAAAGCCACGGCAAAGGCACCCATCAGAAGGAAAGATGCTTGTCAGCGTAGCAGGCAGTCTCTGCAGAGAACAGCAGTACCAACAGGAGAGCCGAGCCTGCCCCGACAGCAAAGATTTGCTCCAGCCAAAAAACTGCCGCGCGTTTCTTCTGCGACTGAGCCCCAGAGACCCGCGGCTGGAGGAACCGCTGAAGTTGTGACACTCACCATAAATTAACTCACCCCAGCTTTCTGCTTCTGTTTCCCTGATTTACCATTAAACTGTAGCTCCAGGGTGGTGGTTTGGTTTATTTTTTTTTTCCCTGTGGTCACTTTGGGAAGTTTTTAAACCACTGTTCATATAGTTCTTAAAAGTTTCTCAATCTTCACTGGAAGGTCAACTGGCTACACTGGAACTTCTTACAGAACAGTTGGGAAGTTAGTAAAGGAGAAGTGAGCCAAGTCAATGCATTGGCTTGTTTTGATATCTCCTGTGAGCAAGGTCACAAGGTGCAGGTTGAATCTTGCTCTGAAATTAGAAAGTCAAAACTTCGGTGTGAAGTTTTCACTTGTGAGAGGCATTAAAAATCACCTGCTTATCCATTAAAAACACCCTGACTTGGTCCATAAAATGGAACCCATCTCATAAAGACCTCTCTTTTTGATCCAGGTTTATGGCTAGCTTTACTTACAGAGGTACTCTCAGTTTCCCTAGAGAAGTTTTAGGCTGCTAAGTGCTGCAGGCTGTTGTTTCCAAAAGCAGTTTTGTGTTTGCAGTAATTGGGGCAGACAGCTACTGAGCCAGACACACTTTTTGGTTTGGGGGGCGGGGGGGGGTGTGCAATTGTGCAGGATGCAAAACAGTTGATTTAAAAAAAAAATAAAATTATTTTTTTAGGCTTTGTAATCACTCGCACTGACAAGAGATGGAGTTACAGGGAAGTATTGTCTATTCATTGGCAGAACAAGCTCGTAACGTGGTTCCTGATTTTCTCCTGCCTCCAGCTGCCATTCAGCTGTGTCAGTGCAACTGCACTGTGCATGGGATCACTGAAGTAATTCAGGGCAATAATAAAAACCTCTTTAGTTTCAGTTGTGGGTTGGTTTTTTTGGGGGGTTTTTGTTGTGGCTTTTTTTAAAAATATAGATCATTTCATAACCAATTAAGCAGTTTTCTAGGACTGGAGAGACAGCTTAAAAATCACTGTCATTGTTTTGCACAGAAATCGAGGTGGGTATTGTGGAGAAGGGGGGTAATTCCAACAGTGCTTAACCACAGCACACATTCCTGCAGACTTTGTGAGTATTTTCAGCGACCAGCAGCCAAATCTGCTTCAGCTTTAGCAAGCAATAATACAATCTTACAGATGACCTGAAAACAAGACTTTTCTGGGTGGGGGAGGAAGGCGAAGCAGAAGGAGGAGAGGAAGGAGACTGTCTTCCTCCCAGCTCCAGCCAGCCATCTGTGCTTGCAAATGATCAAAACGTAGTTTGCACTGCTAGGAGAGATCACCCGACTGCAAGTTGTGATTAGAAATTTCAAAGCTGTGGGCGAGGGGGTGGGATGGATGTTAATTTTAGTATCTGGGGCTTTCTCTTTAGCTTAACTCTTTCCTCACCTCATGTCAGTAAAGAAGTCTGGAAATTATTTATGCCAGACAGAGGTAAATGCCTACAGTGTCGCTTACATCTGAGAAGGAAAAAAAGCAGCAGGCAGAAATTACTGTTACAATTTCACACAATTTCTGTGACACAAAACAGTTCTAAGAGGACAATGTTTCTGTGGTTTAGAAAGTAAAATTTCCCATGAATGCCTCACTACTGGAAATCAATCTTTTCAACTCGCCAAAGCACAACCCGACGTGAGAGCGACAAGCAGAGGAACGACATGGGTTAAAAATCACCT